AAAGTGAAAATTACCATCCTTCTCTCGAAGTCTGCTTGCATTGTTTCTGTACAGGTACTCCTCTCTGTTCCCGCTCTGTGACTCAACTCTTACTCACAAACCGGCTAATGCGAGAGCTGGCATTCCTCCTCCAGCGTTTGTGGTGCTTTGGAAGGTGTCTACCTCAAACCACGCATGTTTATTACCTCTGAGATATCTTGTAATGACTAACGAAATGAGGGGGATTCAGTGACTAGATAGACCATTACAAAATATGGGAATGCTGGAAACAGTTGTAAGTCATTTTTTGCCCGAGGCAACAGGTGATTTAATTGATGTGTCAGGGAAAAGTGCCTTGTTGTTGTTAACTGTGATGGATTTAGCTTAAACATGATTGTTGTAATATGTTTCTGCTTCCAAACAGCACTAAACCTTTAAGCACACATTTAGATATATATGTGTGTTAGTGTATATATGCTTATGTATAAATATATGTATGTATATTTGTATCTACACATATATATGCTTGTATGTATGGCTACATAATCATTTATGTTTAGATGCAGGTATACATGCATATGTATGCATGGATCTGCATTTATTGTCTATCCAATCATGAAAGTGGAAAAGGCATTTTAAAGAAAAAGAATGTTTCAGATTATTTTTCTTGACTTATACTTGAAGTTTCCCGGTTGTCATTAATTGGCTTACTAACAAATGTAAACAAAGTTGTAATTTGTTTGGGCTTCTTTGGACTTTAGTGCCAAGATGCATGATATTCCTGTTTCCTTTTCACATGGTCCCAGATGTTTGTCTTTTTCTCACTCGGATGTTTTCCAAAACATTTTGCTCAAACAGGGTCAGAATTTTAATTTATCAATGGATGATCTCCAAGTTCAGTGGAAGGGCTTTCTCCAACCCCTCTCAGTTTCTGGAAAGGCATATGGGAGGACAGTGCTTTATCTTTGACCATTTTTTTAAATCTTCAATTAGGTGGATTGATTCCCGTCCATCAATTAGGGGCCATCTTGAGTTCCGCTGAGCTTTTCCATCAGCGAGAGCAGGCCGTATCTTTTCACCTGAATCCTAATGACACCTCACTCTCTTTGTGTTGCCATGTGCTGCAGTGCCAGCTAAGGTGTCACACCACCTGAAAAGAAAGTGTCTTCATCCAAACAGTATCATGCTTCTCTCCTTAGGGATCAATGGCTTCTTCTTTGTATGCTGACTGGCTCAATAATTTAAGATCACCTCTTTAAAAATGTAATGAAGTAGCTGTCACTTAGCACACTCTCCCTGCTCTGGCTCTCAGTGATGATCCGGCACGAAGGGCCATGCTTCCTGTCAGTGACTCAATCTTTCTGTGTAACCTAAGCAAAGACTTCGCGCCTCCTTTTCCACCTTCCTCTTGCTGGTTTGCGCCTGACCGTGTGGTGTGTTGTTACCACTCGGTCATCTGACCCTGGTCATTGCCGGTTTCCTTTTCACAGCTCCATGATTAGACCCTATAGTGTGTCAAACTCTCTGTTTGACACCTCAGGTTGGATATTGGGCTTCAGTGCCTCTGTTTCTGAGAAAGCCATTCTTTTATTGTCCATTGATTTTCTGGAGATAAGAGTGAAGTCAAAGTTTAAAACCCTCAGATATTTTCCATGTGCTCACGCACTGTAAAGGTTAAGCAGCAGATACTCGTAGAAATACAAATAATATTAATATTCACCCATTTATAGCTAATTTGTATTTGTTATGCTAATAAATACATTTGTAAACTCATCATTTTAATATTTTCTGTACTGATTTTGGAGCATTAATTCTTTTTAAATAAAATACAATTAAGAAGACTTAAAAGAATTAGGAATCAAAGTACTCAACATCTATCTCTATAAATGTTTGTCCTACTTAAAACATTACATTTGTTTAGTTCTCGGCTTTTGAATGATCTGATATTGCAATATTGTGGTACTCTCCTAATTCTGATTCAATTAAATTGACTTAATTCTGGTGCTGTTGTTTTATTTAAAAACGTGGACATTTTAATTTAAAACATGCTGCTCATTTGTTAAATTAGCAGGTTGAAAAGTTTATAAACCAAATGTTATACTTGCCGTTACCACCTGTTGGTGACTATTGGATCGTGTCCAGTTCTCAGAGCTCTTTTGATGTCACGGGGACACGGGTCACTTGGTGACAACCATTAAATTTTTAACTTGACCCTGAAGTGACGGTGAGACTGACATTTACAAAGCGCATCACCCTGACATCCCAGAATTAGACTCAACAACAAGGCTTCTAGAGAATATAAATTTTTACTGGTGTGTGTGTGTGTGTGTGTGTGTGTGTGTGTGTGTGTGTGTGTGTGTGTGTGTGTGTGTGTGTGTGTTTGCATATGCCTGTTAATGTTTTTAAACTGTTATGGGAATTTGGGGTCATTTTGTAAAGCACTTTGAGTAGCACTTTGTTTGGAAAGCGCTTTATAAATCTAATCTGATTGATTGATTGATTGATTGATTGATTGATTGAAGAAACATTTATTTTGTTTAAGTTTTATTTGATCTTGAGAATAATGACTTTATCCCTGTAGGTGTGTTCTATATCTGTGTCATTACATGTTTTAGCTTTGGAGACACGTTTGCAGATTGTAAATGAAGAAAAATGAATTTAATATTATTTATGAAGCACTTTCCTACGCCCGAATGGGAGACCAAAGTGCTGGAAACACAAGCCATAGTTAAATCAACACAAGAGACAGTAATACTAAAAACAGTGAAAATGTAGTACAATAAAAGATGGTATGTTTAGATCATGTCTGCTTCAAAAGCTAAAGAATAATAATAAGGTTTTAAATGTTGACTAAGGCTCCTGTCTAATGCTCAAAGGCAACGTATTTCAGCAGCACTGTGCTTCACATTTTATTGATCTGCCAAAAGCCTTTGACACTGTAGACCATGCTTTTTTAAAACGTAAGCTTCTGTTTGAGATTGTCTGAACATGTGATCTCATGGTTCACAGACTGCTTGAAGGACAGAAATCGATGTGTTAAATGTGATGGGTTGTCCTCTAAAGTTTTAACTGTCGACAAGGGAGTACCACAGTTTTGGGACCCCACTTGTTTATGTATATTGATGACATAGGACAAAATGTCTCGGATGCTTATAATCACTTTTAAGCTGATGACAATCATTTACTGTTTTGGAGCATCCCCCACTAAAGCTGTTGAATTCTTACAGAAAGCTTTTAATTAAATTTGGTCCTCAATGCTGGCAAGACTAAACAAATGTTGTTTTCAAAATTTTACTAAAAGACCTTTTAAGTGTGCTCTCAGTGACCACTCTTGAGGGAAATATCATAGAAGTGGTCCACACATACAAATACCTTGGTGTCTGGCTCGTTGACTCCCTCTCCTTCAAGCCTCCTGTGGATGGTAGAAACTCAAACTGGGTTTCTTTTTTCGAAATAAACCATGTTTTATTTTTTTATTTTTTTTATTTTTTGAGGAAAAAAACAACTCCTTACTGCAACATTTCTGTCTATTCTGGATTATGGAGACCTTTTGTATATGAATGCCTCAGCACAGTGCCTTGGTAAGATTGATGTCGTTTATCGTGCCTCGCTGAGGTTTATTACTAACTGTAGACCACTGACCCATCATTGTGAATTGTATTCTCAAGTGTGACCTTCCTGTTTAAATAAAGAATAAATAAATAAAATTTCCAAAACATTCAAGTAATTACAGAAAGCGCTCGAAGTCTTCGAGTTGTCAGTTTAACCAAAAGGGACAATTAATAGATCTTGGTCAGCTGACCCAAGTGAACGTATTTAACTTTGCGTCTCCTTCCAGTATATGAGAGTCATGTTGTTCAAGACCTTACAAGCAAGCTGTAGATCAAACTAATCTTATAGTAGATTGGAAGCCAGTGAATTACGTTTTTCCTAAAGATATTTGGTGCTTACGATATTTTAGCTAGACTGCTTTATCTTGATTTACTGACTTTGTTTCCATGTGGTGGTTGGTCCTTCCCAGAGAGTTTTGCATTGTAGTCAGCCTCAAATTCTAGATATCTCCTTTGATGGAGCAGGTCATATTTCCAAACCACGTCATAGTGAAAGTATGCCTGTGATAATGAAATCAAACATGCAATCGCGCAATGTGGGAAATGGAAAGATTGCATATGATCAAGTATTTAGTTTCCCAGAAACTTTTAACACATCAGCAAACTCTTTATTGGTAGAAAAAAAAACTTTAAAACATGTTTCATCCAGTTAAGAGCAGTATAAATAATACAGCAGATTAGAACTAATCCTGGTTAGAGATTTACCATTTCCTTTGCATCCAACCTTTCTGTAAAACATCAAAGATTTGTCCATTTACTGGACGAGAACGTTCTATTCAAAACCTAATATTTCACTCTGAGTCTTAAGGAGTCCCAGATGAGCTTTTAACCTAGAAGCTGCTTTTGCATCCAAGTCCAAACTAAAGCATCGATTAATGAGTTCCAGACTGGATCTGAACGGTAAAACATGCCTGCTGTGTTCGTAACATGTGCCGAATTGTTGCAGATTGTTAAATATCACATTCTTAGCAGTCGGGCTCATCAAACCACATTACCAGTTCCTCATTCACCAGATTTGCGTGCATTCTGTTAATGGATTTGTTCTATTCCTCAGAATCAAAATTTCCCATCGTTTTTACAGTAAAACAGCTGTTTCACTGAATTGAAGTTGTTTTTGTCATCACAGTTCCTTGAATTTCTTTCACATGGTGGCCAGACCAAATTAATCCCTTCGCATGAATGATTTTTATTGCTTAATTTTGTAACTCAACGATAAAAAGGGTCATCGTAGCCATAAATCTCCTGATGAGATAGCCCATCGCTGTTTATTTAGAAGAGGATTTATTTCTGTAGAAAAGTGTCTAAAGAGTCAATAATTGTGTTCAGAAGAAACTTTCTGCACCTGTAAGCATTCGTTTTGTCACATATTTGTTCTACATTTCTTATTCATTTGCTGTGCTCCATTTGTAGACATCGAGTGACAGGCCGTTCATCCAGAAACTGTTTCGCCCCGTTTCACCTGAAGGCAGCGCACACACGCTGGGCGATCTGCTGAATGAGATGTACCCTGATGCTCTAACAAGAGATGGTAAGCTAACAGGCCACAAAGTGGGTAAAATATTTGTGTTTTTATGATAATTAAATAAGATTCTTCAGTATTTGGTCTTCTCTGATCAGTCATTCCAGGAAATATTGTTTACAATCAGCTTAGAGCTAAATAGCTGCATGAAATAATTACTTATCAAATTAAATATATTGTCATCTGAAAATAAATGTCAAAGAAACTTCATTTCCTCATTTGTGGCGTTTCTGAGAATCAATCCGTTTGATTATGCAGGGGCAGCAGTAGCTCAGATGGTAGAGCGGGTTGCCTCATGATCGGAGGGTCATGGGTTTGATTCCAGCTCCCGCCAGGGGTATCCTGCTGTTGTGTCCTTGGGCAAGACACTTCACCCAACTTGCCTGTGTTGGTGGTGGTCAGAGGGGCCGACGGTGCCAAATGGCAGCCTCGCCTCTGTCAGACCTCCCCAGGGCGGCTGTGGCTACAAGTAGCTTACCATCACTAGCAGTGTGTGAATGTGAGAGTGTGTGAAAGCGTCTTTGGGTGTCTAGAAAAGCGCTACATAAGTTCAATGCATTATTATTATTATTATTATTATTATGCATCTATTGACGTCGTAGCTCCTCAACAGGAAGAGTGAACTGCTCACTAAAAATGCTAAAACAAAGAAACACTAATTCGTTAAAAAATTAAATTGAACTCATAATTTTGTAGAAGCTATTTTTTTTTCTTCAACATCAGTACCAAAAAATATTTAACTGACTGATTTATGACTTTTTTCATTTGTAAATCCTTAAAATAAAATCACACTTTGCATCTAGACATAAGCTGTAGTTCTGCAGAACTATGTTCCTTTTTAAGATTACTAACAGGTTGATTTGCAGCTCTGCCTGCCCCCAATGCAAAAAGCCGACTGTTCACCTCCTAAAAGTCACTCACTTACTAAAAGTAAGGCCTTAAATCCAGTTGCAGCTGTGGTGAAGGGGGCTGATTGTGAAAGAAGAGATGAGAGGGGAGGGCAAGCAGAAGCCTAAACAGACAGTGTCTGCAAAGGAGAAGAGAGGAAGTAGATAAAGAGACAACAGTGTGTTTGGGACAGCAGACCCGCAGGAGTCTCACCTGCGCAGATGCAACAGCCATTAACACCACGCTTCTCTGTCTGCCTATTTGGGCCTGCATCCATCCTCAAACTTCTTTATCAGATTCACTTTCATTTAAAGAATCAAACACTTTCCCAATGCTCTGCATAAAAATAGCTGATTTATATTTAGTTAATGTGTATTTTTGTACCAGTGGTGATGCGTTACTTCCACTGTCAGAGCATTTGTTTTGGAAAAGCAAAAATTCAGATTTTATTTCAAATGTTATCCAAGACAGACGAAGAAGTCAGACACTCGCACGTTTTTGAGATTTTCTTTGTCATTTATAAGCGAGGTGGTTAAAGCGTTGGTTTAGAACCAGTGTGTCCTTGTAAACCACTTAACGTGCATTTAGAGTCTTTTCTTGTTTTTCTTTGAGGCACAGTTTGAGACTATAGTGACTTGTCTAATAAACAAAAATATAAGGACATTGTTTCTTAAAAACATTTACAAAGCCAGCGTTTAATCTCCCTGAGGGGGTCACTCAGCTCTCACTCTTGTCTGGGATTTTAAAGCTTTACATCCTGCTGCCCCAGTGAGTGGAACTGGTTCATGAGGTAAAGCAGATGGATGGTTTTCCCCAACTTTGTCAGAACTAAGGGGGAAACTCCGCCTACCAAAAGTGAATCCAACCAAAGTGAAAAATAATTGCTGTGGAGGGGTAACAGGTAGCAGATGACCCATCAGTGCTAGCAGCTTGCACTCCTGCTTGTTCCAGAGAAGGCTTCAGCCTTGACCTAGTGTTAAAAGTGTTACGGCCTTGAAGGCAGAGGAAAGTCATGTTTTCCGGCTAAAGGCACCAACCAACCTTCGTTGGTAGCTTGTGGCCACATCTGCTCAGTTTGATGGGTGTCAATCGTCTGCCCCCACCATCACAGCCCCCGCTCTCAGCTCCATTTTTTTTTCTTAGAGTGAAAAAGTCAAGATGGTTGTGGTGGGAATCGGGCATAAATTTAACTCTTCAGAAACCAACGGATGGTTTGTCCATACAGTCTATGGTCAGAACCTGCACTCGTAATCATTTGTGGAGCAGCTACTTTGTTTTTTGCTCAAATACGTCCACACAACTGAACTGTTCGGCCTCTTTTTGTCAAAGATGTCATTCGCTGTGTTCTCCATCTTTTTTGGGGCGCTCATTTTCTCTATTTTATCCAACAAAGTAAGAGGTTGCAGCTACACAAACATTGTGATGGGTCCTCACTGGGGGCACCAATGGCGCATTCAGCGGAACGGTTTACTTGCATGTTTCAGTGCTTCAACCCACAGTGAGTGGAGTCTCCACCACAGAGCAGCATATCTACCCTCCATCTCACTGAACTCGTGAAACCACAAAATCCCTCAAGACTTCAAGGGTTTGCTTATGCCATCCGCTTTTAAACCAAAAAGAAGAAGGTGATCATGTTTGATATCACTGTTTGATGTCATATATAATGTTGTGCTTCTGCACTGCCAGGATTAATGACATGAAAAACACACCGGTGTACATTCAAAAGGTGATGGGAATAAATTAACCACATGGTCACATGCTTTAACATAATCTGCACAGATAAAAAATGTACCTCTGCACCAGTTTTTATTTTTTTTATTTAAATTACCAGGTGTTTTACACTGAAACTGATTTCCTGTTTAGCCATATGTTAAGTATAAAAAATGATCTGTCCTAGAAGCAGCTTGCACCAAAAATATCAAAATAAATAAGACAAACAATGAAAACATTTTTTATATAGCACTTTTCAAACAAATGAAGCAACTCAAAGTGCTTTAAGATAAAAATGACTCCATAAAACCTATATTCCATAGCGATTAAAAAAGCCGCCCATTTCCTAGGTACACACACACACATGCGTACACACACACACACAGACACACACACACTCGTATGCATAGCATATAAATCGACAAGCGTAAACACTTGGCCGAGTTCAGATGGATCAGGTAATGAATGACACCCCATCAGGGGAGCCGTCTGCCTCTACAGCAGCAGTTCCATGGCAGTAGCCGAAGCACTGATCCCAGGCGCCCAGGGATGGAGGGCAGAAACCCCCACCATCCTCAAGCACTCGCGAGGAGCGCCCAGGCAGCCGCCGCCCACCACCGGCCCCGAGGCAGAGGGCTGCACAGAAGAAACACTGGAACAAATAAAATAAGTAAAATGTAAAATAACAAGAGCTAATATGGATAGTAAAATAACTCATAAAAGTTGATTATGGAGATAATAAAACAATCAAATAGAAATGTGTAATAAAACTAAACTGTAAAAAATAAGCTAATAAATAAAAACAAGCTATGCAGTCAAACAGATTAAATAAATAGTGATCAGTTAAAAGCTAAACTAAAAAGGTGGGTCTTGAGCCTGTTCTTAAAAACGTGAACATTCTTTACGGCCGTGAGGTCCTCCGGCAGCCCGTTCCATAGGCGAGGGCCATGATAGTGAAAAGTGTATGTGTCCTGACTTTTAGAATCACGAGAAGATGGCTGCCGGAGGAGCGCAGATACCGTGAGGGTTCGTTTGATAAAAGCAATTCAGAAAGATAAAAAGACCCAAGACAATTAAGACACTTAAAAACCATTAAGAGAACCTTAAAATCGATCCTGTAATGTACGGGGAGCCAGTGCAGTGATTCTAAAACTGAAGTGATGTGCTCCCGCTTCCTAAAAATTACCAGGTATAGAACCCAATCCTTTCTTTAGCGGTGCGGCAAGCTGCTTCTGGGGCGCACTTGAAATGTTCTGTGCTGCGGCCAGTTTGAATCAACCCATATAGTACAATGGATTCTGTTTGAAGCAGTGACCTTCCGCTGTCCCCAGTGTGGACACGGCTTTAGCTGTTAGCACATCCGGCTGCTGCTGTGCCATTAGCATGACTCTGTTCCGGTCACATGGTTGGTCCAGCGTGGACAAACACTTAACAAGATTGGCTGTTCACCTGGGCCCTCATTTATTAAATGTTTGTAGAAACTGTCCTATATTCCTCTCGTAGGCATGTTTCCCCGCAATCGCCTGATAATAAATCCAATCTCTGCGTATCCAGGTGCTCCTGTCTGTTCACGCAGGGGCGCAGATAGGATTTTCAAACTGGGGGGACTAAGTTCCAATGTACACACACACACACACACACACACACACACACACACACACGCGCGCGCACACGCACCCACGTACACATACACATACACAAACTATTGCAAGCGCCTTAACTAGAGCTCATTCAGTTTGTATAATTTCATCCAACGGTTTACGTAAAAACTAACACTTTTATATACGTGTTTGAAGCCATTATGCAGTGGAACGCTGGCAACAAAGCTCTGCCTGATCAACACTATAATTGATAAATGATCTGCACTTGTATAGCACCTCTCAGAGTAAGGACTCCAAAGTGCTTTACACTACAGTGTATCATTCATCCATTCACACACACATTCACACACTGATGGTGATGAGCTACGATGTAGCCACAGCTGCCCTGGGGCGCACTGACAGACGCACCCCACTATTTAATTCAGTCATTTGTTATTCTCCCAATCAATTACTAACCAAAGCCTCATGCTTTATGCAAACCATTAAATGATTTTCAGCATACCGATCTTTACAGAAAACATAAAAGCCCTAAAAAACAGCTCTTAAAATATATTTAAAAAACAACATTCACTTATCACTTAGAGCAGTGGTTCCCAAACTTTTCAGCCTGACCAACAGATGTTCCTTCGTATGTTTATGTTATTTAGAAATTTTCATTATATTTGGAAAGTTTTTATTTATATATAAATATATAAATCTCTTTAAAAATTTTATATTTTACTTTTTTTATGATTATGTGGCACACTTTCACTTCCATACGTAAATGAGAGCCCTGTTCTGTAAATCAAAGGTTTACATCAACCTGCTCTC